TGCTCCTCAAGGGCCGGAGACCTGTAGGTTTCCTTGCATGGAGATCCGTCCTGGGCGATGGTACAGGACCATGGTCTCTCTGCACGGAGCAGGAGCAGCAATGAAGATCAAGACGTCTCCAAGGAGAGTTGTGCCAACGTGCTCGAGTGCTTGCAGAGCAAGCCGCGCATGACATGGAGGCTTCGAGCGGCGTGGCTGCTAGGTTCTCTTGCATTGGCAGTCTGCATCTATGGACCAAAGGTCACTCCAGCACCTATGCTCTTCACAGTATTCGTAGCAGTTGCCTTGCCAGGAAAGCGAAGTCTTTCCTGTAGCAGATTGGGACTGACAGATGCTCAGCCTTTTCTGTGCCGTGGTCATCTCGCTCGAAACTTGCGCTGGCACTTGCAACGATGGCGGCTTTACGTGAAATGGACAGCTGATCGTGTGGACCAGGATCTGCACTGTGTCTGGCGATGCGTGCTCCCACTTTCACCTCGACAAGCCCTTGCTCGGGCCGTGCGTGGAGAGAGCCGGAGCCTTCTGATGTACCACACCGCTGCATCTGCTGGCTTCCTGCTTCCACCGGAGGTGGTTGCATGTAGCCATCTCCCTGAGCCCGGCCTTCGAGCCCACACTGTCCGTCTCTTGAAAGAACAGTGGGAAAGCGAAGCCCGGCAGCTGGCACCTATCCCGGAACTGAGCGACAGAAGCTACAAAGGCACCTGGAGGAGCCTTGCACTTGCATGCATTGCCGTGGGCGTCTGGGAGTAAGCAAGCTCTAGAGAAGTCTAGAGACGTGCTTTGAACTTTGCAGCTACAGAGCAGCTTGGGTAGCTCTGCAGTTGCAACTTCCTCTTGTGTGTACCGGAACCTGCGGGACCATGCTGCAACCTGTCTGGGAAGCCAAAGATGAAAGTAATTCGACACTGTCGCAGACAAGCTTGGTGTCTGCCATCCTCAGTTCGAAAAATGTTTAAATCATGTGTGCCAATGCTTTGCAGAGCTTTGCCAAGCCTATTGACTTGTTGATGGGTTTCCGCAAGGCTTCACGTTTTGTTGTGCCAACGAGGGTCTCACCCTGTGTACTGTTACACGCGAATTACACACTTAGTTTTTGCTAACACTTCGGTGAGGCTGCATAGCAGAAATGCTATTCGGCCGGTAGCCCAACGTACTGTGGATTAGAGACCGCGGTGAAGGGAAAGCTGAGAAAGCCATACTTGACCTGAGTGGTTGTGCACATTCGACATTGCCCAGCCCGTGTTGAGCCTCACCTTGCCAGCATGGTTCAAAGGTGGGGACGGACCCCGGGCCAGCGAGATGTTTGCAAGGACCGTCCAGCCATGCAGGCTGCGCCTACCTGCAGCCAGGCCACACCTTGGTGAGCCGAGCCTCGTACTTTTCATGATTTGTTTGCAAGGTTTGCGGCCGCAGGATCGCTTTTTCGAATTCGAGGCTGGCCAACATCCTTCTTCATGTGACTGTGAAAAACAAGTCCATACAATTCATGCAGTGCCTTCTTGTCTGTTCCCTTGGTTGCTTGACCATGACGTAGCAGGTTATCATGCAGCCCAGAGTCTGCCATTCATCTAGTCTCGCACATGCCTACAATATCTCTCGAGTTTTTCTCTAAGTGCGGAAGCACCATCAAGCGTGCAATCCTCCCCATTGCGGCAGCAAGTCTCGGGGCCCGAAAAGAGCCACAGCTTGCATCCGAGGTGCAGACTCCACAAGCGCGGTCCCGCGATCGCCAGCAGCACCGTTCACGAGGCGAATGACGATGTCATCAGCTTGTTGTTCAAGCTTTCAGGTTGAGTGGTTCGCGACCAACCCTGCTGCTGAGCGAAAAACGATCCACGACCTCAGAGGACGCTCGTCGTGACTTTCAGGTCGCCTGCTGCGCAAGTTGCGCGTGGATCAGACGGCTTTGTGCTGAGTGCACCAGTGCAGAGCGGCAGACGCTTCGGACCCTTTCGTTGTTGCCATGTGCGAGGCTCACACGGGTTCCCCGGGGCAGCGTCTTATTCTCGGCTGCGAGGTTTCCGAGAGCATGCGGACGATAAGCCGACCGCCAAGGTCGGAGGCAGCTCCTAACCTCGCGCCTGTTGCTGAGACATTTAAAGTTTGGCTCCAATGTCGCTGAGTTGGTGATCAGTCGAACATCGCACCGAGGAGTGGCCAGCAGACAATGAAAGTTGGCGCCGTCCTCGTGCCTATCCGGCCTTCCGTCTGACAGGCAGCACGTACACTTGGCTCGCACAGGTAAGTACAAAGGCAGAACTTTCACGGAGATTTATGCTCAGGCTGATCTTTTGCAGCGCTGGCGCTGTATGTTCAGCATTGTCCGAGCTGCAGGACCCGCAGTATTGCAGGTGGGTGTGCGACATTGCATTGTGCGCGCCTGAGACTCCATCGGAGGCTTGTCCAAATCCACGTAAAACTGGGCTCAGGACGGGAGAGAAGACAACCGATTCGCTCAAGATCTTTGCTGCTTTTGTGCAGCACAGGCCGAAGCTGCTGGCAAGAGGCTGGAATGGAGCAGCGACACGGCCAGGTGGCTTTTAGCCATTCGTGATCTGTTTCGCGAATCGAGACCAAACAGTTTGCGAAGCCATCGCTTCGCCCCTGGCTCAGCTGTGGGTGGGGGGGGTACTGTTGTGCCCCAGAAAGAAGGATGATGAGCTGTTCTCGCGAATACAATGTGGTCTTATATGAACGTATTTGAAGCATGTTCAGTGTACCTTATGCATGATTTGTGACTTCACGCAGCTTCTTGAGTCTCAGTACAGGTGTGGCCTGGAGTTCGTCCTCAGCATACTTTGCATGCGACTATCTGGTTCGTGTGCATCATCTTGAACGTTCGTCGTAGTCGTAGCATGTTGAAGAGAAGTATATTGCATGAAGTACATGTTACTGATCAACTCGTATCATGTCTCTTTTTCTTCTCCCTCCTTCTCCCATGCTCTCTTTTCACAACATATTTGCATGCGCATGTACATATTAATGCATGTAGGTTGGTGGTAGGTGGGCATGACCAGGTCTGCATGTATGTGTGTATGCATGCAGGTAGGTAGGTGGGTGGGTGGACGGGTGTGTAGGTGCAAGCAATCGGTCCTTGTGAGGCGGGCCACTGCACCGAACTCATCGTTTCCAAAATGTGCGAACGATCTGAAACCCTGAGGCCCAGAGGGACCCCGAGGGAATTGAGTCATTGAGAGTCGAAAGGAGACGTTGGGTGGGGAAGCCCTTAACAGTTGAAACCGCCTCTGGAGATGTCGGCTTACGAACCCTCAACGCTGAAAGGAGACATGCAATCGCCTGGTACTGCCGAGTTGCGAGTGGCAATAGCCCTGACAAACAGATGATGTTGAAACCGTAGAGGGACGTGCAAAAACCTCTCAACATGATGCTGGGTGGGAAGCCCCCAGCAACGACGGATTCATTGGCGCCTTCGTAGAGAGATGTCGTGCGTAACCCTGTGGCCCTCAAGCACTACATCCTACAAGGTCCTTTTGGATGCCCGGAGCCCGAAAGATCATGTTCACAATCCTTACGCCCTTGCAGGTCAGGTCAACGTGGGTTTGAAACCTTGGTCAAAAATGGAGGGCAAATATGGGGATGTTGGGAGTGTGGGACCCTGAAATGGGTTACAGCTGGTGCTGCAACCGATCCCTGTACCTCAGCTGAGGAGGAACTTGAAGCCTGACACCTCCAGCACTCTCGACTGTTTCTGTTTCTGTCTGTTCTCGGATTGGAGCAGGCTGTGACCGGTCAGCCTGACGACATGTCGCATAGAGCTGAGCACATCGCAACACCTGGATCTTGCGCTGGCTTTTGAGATATGAGGCGCGAGCTGCTGGAAAGCTTCATCCGCGTCCTGGGTGGCGAGGCACGACAAGAGCGACATGCTTTTTTTTCTCGAATCGGCTCCTTGGTCCGGCAGGTGGTGTCTCAAGCCCGCGCCTCATTTCCCCTTGTGGTATCACAGCAATCAGGGTAGCCTCAGGTTGCACCATCTTCCAAACCGGCAGCGACAGGGGTGGTCGGCGACCCAGCATGAGCATCAGCTGTGAGAGTAGAGTAGTAAGTAGTAGTGGGGCTGCAGTCACCGTTCTATCGGTATTGGTCTTCGCATTCGCCGAAGAGCTGCATAGGCCAGTTGTGCAAGCGACCCAGTCTCACGGTCGCTTGCTTCCAAAAGTATCGTGGCTTTCTTCACAGCCTGTGCAGGACGCCTGACTCCCCAGTAGAGGAAGGGGCTGATGGGGCTGGCAAAACAAGTAGTTCCCATAGTGAACAAGTACAGCAAATACAGTATTTGCGTGATAATGGTCGTCACAGGGCGAAGCGATCCTTGAGAGCACACAGCAGCGTAGTGGCACGCAGTGCCTGAAAAAATTGCCGAGGTAGTGGCTGGCTCTACACTTTATGGAGGGAAGCCTGTACAGCAAAGCGCGAAGCTAGAGAAGGCCGCAGTGCAAGCCTTGAAAGCCTCGTCCTGGATGTACTTACACACAAATGGGCAGGCGGCGGCCGGAGGTATACCTGTCCTGACATTGGAGGACCTCCGCAACCTGGCGATTCAGGCCCAGAGCAATCAGAGCTTTTAGAGCCAGAGAAAACGGGTGCGGTGAGCTCGACGCTGTGGAGAGGCTCCGGAAGGTGAGCCGTGAGAGCGGTGTCGTGATGCGAAAACAAGAGTGCATGCTCCAGTTTTCTGTCATATGGGCACTTAGGTGTGTGTTTTCCTGAAGTTGGCAAAATCATGGCTGCATCACGCAGTGGTCTGGTTTCAACGCGGCGTCTTCATGCATCATCGGCAGACAGAGTGTGCTTCGACCGTTAACCCACCACCACCACTACTACTACTACTGCTGCTGCTGCTGCTGCTGCTACTACTACTACTACCACTACGACGACGACTACAGCAATCTAACAGAAGCACCGATGTTGGCATCGAATCAGTACGCTAAGTCTCAGACTTCCTGGACGACACATGGAGCTTGCAGCGCGCAAGCATGCAGGGAAGCGAGGCGAGTCAGTAATGCCGCGCTTCTGCAGCGCTGTTCGGCTTTGGCTTTGCTTGGCAGGAGAGCTCCTCCAGCGATGCTGACTCAGTCTCGATCTTTGTTTGAAACCCTTGCAGTGACTTGCAGGCCCGCAGCTTCGCAGCCTTCCTGTAATCCCTTGTTTGGGTGTGAGGTTGAGAACTTTGACAGATCTTCGAAGCCTCTGCGTCAACCGGCCGCTTCAAGCTCAAGAGACCTTTTGCGTGGAATTTGTCAGTTTGCTATGCGCGCTTGAGCTGTATTCTCAGGTAGCCCGGCTGCCGAGTCACAGCAGTGACAGTGACAGCAGTGCAGAGGTCCAGCGTGCCATTGACGAGGTACAGCTCGACAAGCCCTTCAGACAATTTCTGTTTGTTCGCACATTGCACATTCAGAAGCAGGATTTCTCCGAAAGTTCCAGCGACAGCATCTCCCAGGCACATTCCAACACGTTCTTTTTGGACTCAGCCTGCTGCGATCGTGTTTTCGTGTCTTTAAGAGATGCCACAAGCAGCTTTCGACAGGCAAATAGCCGAGCTCGAACTGCCCAATCCCCTCCAGTGTCCAAGGCCACGGCACGCCAAAGCAGGTATAGCAGGCAGATTGCAATGGCGCATTTTAGACTGTGCAGTTCAGGCAAGCAGCCCGGCACGAACTGCACAGTCTCCTTCCTCGCCGCCTGTAGAGGCGCGCGAAAGATAGGAAGATTTGGGATTAGGGCAGCTTCTACAGTCTCCGCGAGTGATGGTCCAGGCAGAAAAGCGAAGGGACCGTGACAAAGAGACAGATGGTAGCCGACCCATCACGCTGCAGGAAACCCTTGTTCCCAGTGATGCCAATCCTTTGCAAAGGCCCAGCACCGACGCCTCCAGAGCAGGCCTCGGGTTGGTGTTCTTGTGCCGCATCTGCGATCATCTGTGATGCTTCCAGCACACAGGTGCTCATAGACGTGCCGACTGTGCCGACGCAGAGCGTTGACGTGACTCCAGGCCTTGGTTGCAAAAACTCAGCTCGAAGTTCGCATCTGCCCAGTGCCCGAGGCCAAGCGCAGAGAGAGGCGGACTTGCACAAAAATCCGCCAAGTCTGGTATGCTAGCAATGCTGTGTGGCGGCAACGGCAGGAAATCGCAGGAGCGGCTGAGCCGAATGAGAGCAGGCTGGCGAGCCGCTCTTAGAAGAACACCCCATCCGAGTTCTTATGGCAGGCTGCAAGTTGCTGGTGCGCAAGATGCTGTGCCAGATGTGGAAGAGGCAAAGGGTTTCAGGCTTCTTTGCTCTCGTTACGGCATGTGGAATGGCTTGAGGAGCTGCGGAGACCGACGGCAGAAGATATCGCGAGGACTTGCGTGATGTTGTGGTGAAAGCACAGCCTTGCGAGTGCAAGTGCAGGCGCCAAAGAGAGCAGCGATTGCAGACCCGTCGCAGCCGACCAAGCCAGCAAGGAAATGTCACTTCCAAGTCTAGAAGGTGGAAGGAGCAAGGCGGAAGGTTGCCAGAGAAAGGGGCAGCAAATGAAAGCGAGGCCTGGAAGCAGCTCTTTGGAAGTCGCTGTCCGGATCTTTGGCACGCGCACGTGCATGCGTAGCGCATGAATGCGGGTACTGTAGCCGCGAGACAAACGGCCTGTTGAGCGGTGAGGTGCATGGAAGATAAGGAGAAGCTTCAGAAGATGCTGCAGGCCACCTTCCCGATGCTGGAATGGCTTCCAAGCTTCAGCCCACCAGGCTTTGTGAACTTCTTCGCCCGACAGGTCATTGAAGACTCCAAAAGCCAACTTCGTCGAAGTAGTGCTGAAGAAGTGGATCTGCAGTCGGTTCTGGACAGCAAGGCAGCGGCATGCAGTGGCATTTGTGCTTGATGCGACTTGAAGACTTGAACTTTAAGACACTGATAAGTGGGTACCACAAGCCGCCCTGGCTCAAGCACAAATGCGGATCCTGGCTTCCCGGGCCCGCGTCGCATCGCGTCGCGATCCGGCCGAGGGCTTGGAGCTGAGCACAACTCACTCAGAGTCGCGACTTTGCGAGTCTTTTTTGTTCGTGGAAGTCTCCTTTCTCTCGCTGTCTCTCTTTCGCAGGCTCGGAGCGAGCGGAGCCATGCAGGCCACGCAGGCCCCTGGTCGGGGACGTTCTTTTGTCGGCTGAGCATCGAAGGAGCCCTTGTTGCCGAAGCCCCGCAAGCAGCCCATGAGAGTGCGAATCTACGACATTCTGGAAGGGAAGGCCCTTTCTCATGGAAAAGTGTGGCAGGCAATTACCAATTACAAGTCTATGTTTTTCGCCTTAGGGGCCGTACGGATCCACGTACAGCTTCTTGCTGACCATTGTGATTCTGGTGAACATCGCCTCCTTTATGCTGTCGACCGAGCCGAGCATGGCCGAGCACCAGCCACTGTCCGGACCCGGTTATGGCAACCATTGCCTCTTTTGCAAGCAATCTATCCTTCCTTTGAGGTTTGACAGGGTCGAGATGGTGACCGTGTGCATTTTCACCTTCGAGTATGCTGCGATCTTACTTGGCCTTCTGGCATGTGTCGTCCTACTTGTCTTGCCCAGGTTCTTCGCTTCAGCACCCGAGCAGGGTCATGTCTAGCCCGCATGACGTGGGTCGTTGCTTCCTGAGTCACCGAATTCATGCTGGCATCTACAATTCATGCTATTCGACGGACACGGACGCATGCCACACTGAGTTTACAGACTTTTTCTCCATCGTGGACCTCGTTTCAATCATGCCTTTTTATGCGATGAGCTTGGCAAGACACAGCATGTGATAGAGCCAGCATGAATGCACCGGTGTAGTCAAATGACAAGGCGGACATTCTGATCCCAGGGCGACAGAACTACTTGGCGACGCAGTGGGTTCGAGTTGCGGGAGGCTTAGAATGCACAGCAATCAATGCGTGCTCCGTCCAACATACAGTTTTCCAAGGTGCGGCTCTTGCGCCTCTTGCCGTCACTGTGAGCAGCTCAGAGGTCTCCCTCAGTCGCGCAATGAGAACGGTGTGGAAGGCTGAAGCGTATCCAGCATGTGCATTAGTGATTAGTCCAGCATCTGCATTACAGCATCTAGCTGGTCGGGCATTGGACGTGCCCACTGCAAACGAATCCTTGCATCAGGTATCATGGCTGACATCACCTCTGAGTGTCTCAAGTAATCTCGCCAGCAACAACCAGGCCATACGATGTCATCTGGAAGAAGAGCTACAAGTTGCTGATGGCAAGTGGCTTTGCCGGGTGCACCGTCTGGGCTGCCCGGCTGCAGTCATGAACCTGGATCCAGAAGTTTCATCCGTTCCTGCTGTGAGTACACGGGCTTCATCTGCAGTGGTGCACTTCTCTGCGGGACCTGATAGTGGCGCACATCGGCTGAACGCGAACGCTTGCGGGGAAGTGATATGGCGACATACTGGATATGCACTGCTTGCCCCGTGTGCCCTGACGGTAAACCAACCATGAGGCACTTTCCGGCCATACGTGTTAAGCATGCCCTGACATTCTCCTGCGATTTGAGGCAGTACCGTAGCACGGCAACTGACTCTTGCTGAGCCTAAGTGGTGCCAGGTGATCTGTGCAGCATTGTACTACTGGTTCGAGAAAGACAATGCGGACATGATTTATTGTCCAGTCGCGTCCTGAGTTTCCGCGTTGTCATAAATTCCTTACTCTGCTGCAACCTGGATGAGGATGAAGATGGCAAGAAAGATGGCCTGTGTTGGAACCGCTTTCACTCCATCCCTGCAGCAATGCCAGCTCTCAGCATGAAGCCAATCGCTGTCACTACTGCGTTGTGCCGCAGTGATTTGAAGGTATTATTCGCTTCTGAACTTCTTCGGAGAGTTCCCACTGGCGGACAAGCATTCACTCGGTGGAAGATTTGTGGGCGGTTTCATTCAGGTCGGTTTCACGACATTGCTTGTGCAATCGTGACCCTGATGCACTTCGGGTTTTTCAGGTGATGGGAGCAGCCGTGATGGCCATTCCCGCTGGAGCACTTGGCAATGCATTTTCCGAAGTTGTGGAAAAGGAGCTCTCTACAAAGGAGCAGGACGTTTGCCAAACCGTGCCTAATTTTGCATGGTCCAGAGCACCCCTGGAAGAAACCCAACTAGCTAAAGATAGCTAAAGTATGCTTGCTTTGTCGTCACGCGGTCCCATCCGGGAGGACGTATCAGGTGGAGTAGACGACGACGTCGTTGCAGACGCCAATCGCAAGGTTTTCGGAGTTGCGGCGCGCAATGCTGGTGCACCTCTTGAAAACTTTGCAGGCCGAGGTTGTCCGCTGCCTTGACGGCGAGCGAGAGGCAGTCGCTGGGGCGATGCGGGCATAGCTTTCTGGCTTCAAACTTCCTGCAGGTGCGCACCTACCGAGTAGCCGACGTGACTGTCGACATGGCAGACCTTTGGTTCTCGCTGCTGGCAGCGTCCTTCAGTTGGTGCTCTTTTGGCTGGTCTGCAGATCTGCTCTTTCAATATGCAGACGAGGCATTTCTGGTGACGACGTCATCCGCTCACTTCATACTAGGCGCATTGCCATGATGCCGTCGCAGAATGGAACAGCACTCGAGAACGGTCTTGCTCGCAGCTTCGGCAGGGACTGTGCGCAACTTACCCGTGAAACTGGACGAGCCCCGACCTTTTCAGCCATTTATGACCAACTACAGTAGCCACAGTAGCTGCTTGTCCGCTCCGGGAGTTGAGGTTGTTCTTCCTCTTGTATGCCTTCGACGTCCTAGCCACGCTGGTTTTCTGTGTCTGGCGCCTCAGGAGACTGGAGGTCGAGTTGACATTCTTGGGGGCTTGCAGTGCCTGCAACACCCGCACCCCAGGTCGAGTATTTCTTCAGGACATCTTTCGGCCCTGGAAACTGCAAGTTGGGAAGTGACATCGCCGTTCGGTGCAGCCGCCTGGCAGGATTTGCTCTGCCAGGGCACCTGCTCGGTACTTGCTGAGCGGTTTCGGCCTTGTTGATGGCTTGCCGACACCTCAGCGACTAGCCACGGCTAGTTAGGCAGGCACCGGGAAGGTGCTGGCCTTGCCCAGGAGTGCTGTGCTACCAGCTGTCAGCTATGCCCGTGCCTGAGCCGACTTGCCCGGCATGCTGTAGAATCACAGGAGAGCTTCTTTGGATCGGGCCCCTTTCTGCGAAGGTTCATCCCCGCCCCCTGTTTCGGGCGTTCACGACTCTCAGAGTTCTCAAGCTGGACTCACAATGCCTGTGAACCTTTGCGTCGAACACGTGCTCAGCCGCACCAGGAGCGGTACATCGGTGCCTTCGGCACTTTCGAAAGCATCCTCTATCAGAGCAGGCCTTTCAACATTTCGGTGTTTTTCGGTGCAGATGGAATGAGTCCATGGGATGCGTTTGGCTTCGAGCCGTGCCTTGATCCGCCAGGTCCGTCCTATTTGTGACAGGAGGGGCTGCTGCCGTTCTGTGGGTGCCACACCAAATGAACGCCATCAGTTCAGCGGATTTAGCTGACCGGCGCTTGCACCAGATGCACCAGTCCAGGTCATCTTCAGCACGCTGATGTACTATGCCGAGCGGTACAACCCGGACCCCGAGATGGCCGGCACCTTACAACAGCAGCGGGGCCTTTGGCACAGTGGCACTTTCTCAGAACAAAGTCAGGCCGGGCATTACTCGAGCGTCGCCACGTCCATGCGGCTCCCCTGAGCGTTTTGCAGGATGGTCTCCTTGCTGTGCAGAGAAATCTTGTCTTCTCATCCGACTAAGGTGGGTGACGCTTCTGAACCTGTCAGGGGAGGCCCCACTCTGCGAGTACACGCCGGTCTTGCCCCGAAGCCTCTTTCTGTGCTCTTTTGAATGGACCAGTGGAACTACCGAGGTCGGGAAGTTCATTTCCGCTGTGATGGGCCGCTCGGCTCAGCCCCAGCTCATGCTCAGGAAATTGGGGCACATCTTCCTCGCAGGATTGATCGGCGTGGGCTTCGTGACGATCCCCATGGGCTTGCTTGGTTCTGGCTTTCAGGACTACCTGGAGCAGGAGGACGGTCACACCAGCTGCTCAGCTCCTCACGGCCGAGTGTTTCGAATTGTTTGAGGACGACGACGATGCGGTTGCGAAGCCAGCAGGTGTGGGCATTTTGCTAGTTGCCAGAGAGTGCCGGGAAGAGCAAGCGCTGCGAGGGCAAGCAAAGCCCGAGAGCGAGCGCTCATTCCGCATCGATCCTGGATCCAGCCAAAATAAAGCTGGGAGTTTTCAGAGCCCGTTCGCTGCCTTGCTCGCCTTGAGGTCAGCTAGTGTACAAGTTCTTGCAAGGCTCAGCATCGAACCAGGCCAGATGTCCCAAATAGGAGCCTACAAGCAGATGCGCGTGCTGGAAAGGTGGAGGACCTGAATGCTTGGGAAGCTCGTGCGGTTTACTTCGAGCGATGCATTTTCCTGGCCATCTTCGTGCCCTGGTGCAGTGTGAGCATGCATTACAGAAATACCGGTAGAACGTGTATAGATCTGAGAGTGGGTCCAAGGTCACGGTTATTGCCGCCATCATGGAGCGCCTTGTGCAGTGCTGTCTCCTGCGCTTGACATCCTATACAGCCTGCTCAATGCGCTGCAGGAGACGGTGGACGGCTTTGCACCATCAGGTTCCTTGAACCGTGATGTCCGGGACTTGCGCCGTGTGCCAGAGTTGCAGTGTCGAGAAGAGTGGCACAGAGTGCCGAGGCATTGAATTTCATTGAGATAACGGCCACACTTCTCTTCACGGTGGAGTACGGACTGCGATATTATACGGCGCCGGAGGCAAGTCCTGTAGCAGTGGTAGCGGAAACCATTTGAGAGCGACTGCAGTGCCTTGCATATTTCTT